CTCATATACTTACCCCACCGTCTATACACACTTGTACGGATTTAATTTTGCGAGCATATATTCTCTGTGTATTCTTTAAGAGCACGTTCGTGGAAGAAATTAACGAGGCAAAAATATCAGAAGGTTTTTCAATGGGCCGTTTCAAATGGTTTTCAAGCCCATAGCTACTCGACCGTTATTTCAGAATATGTTATCGAAGAGCGAATATTGTTAACTATATATGAAATGGTGGTAGAGAAAAAAATCAGTTGTTCGTATGAACTCTTCCTCTGACAATTTAAATATAGGTACGCAATTCAAAAGGAATCTCGAAATCGACTATGTAATTATAATATATTATGGAGCTATAATAAGATACTACTATTTTCTTTTATTAGCGTTGAAGATACTTATTCTCTATAGTTAAAGTCACAGTTTTATAAATGACTCTTAGTTTAAGGAAACCGTTCGAATGCTAGTCTGGACCACAGAAGTTTATGCATTTAGGTACCTATAGAGTTTTCTAACTTACAAAGTAGCACGGGATAAAGATTTCTAGTACATTTTAACATGATGAATATTAAATAAATACAGTTAAATCAGCAATATTTTAAAAAGTCCGTTATTCCTTATTATAATTTAGGATTGTGAAATATGTGTCACTTCGATCGATTATAAATCGCGCAACGTGTTAGAGTTGTCTATAGATAAGTAAATGCCTGTAACTACATAAGTAAGTACTTAGTTCTATACTTTACATAAAGACAATGAAATTAATGCTACAGATATTGTAATTTAAAGATATAAGATACAACATCGCATTGAGGAACTCAATAATTGTTTTTAATTTCATTTTTATAGTATTTTACCCTACCGGCCGATTAAGTGTTAAGGGTACGTAAGTTATGAATCTTGATAAGTTTTAACGGTACGATATTTGTCTAACTTCAATATTTCATCAGACACGAATGGAGATGAACTTTAACACTTTACTATTGCATTTGGTGTACAGTTATTGGTAGCTAACGGAGGTGGCGGAAAGGCTAAGGTGGTCGTTGTATAGGTATCATTCTACTGGCGTATAGTCCGCGGTAGTCACCCTTCTTTTCTTCGCCACCAAAAGGCTCTTGAAATAAATTGAAAATGGCTGGTATCGCCCCGCTCTCTGATAAGTGATACCTACATCACCTACACGCACACCGGCCGCCACAGAATTCCCTGGTATTCTTTCGTGTATTCGAAACGCGCAATTCTCAATCACAGGCCCCTCTCCCCTTTCTCCCTCGCTACCTACTTCGAATCCACGCGAATGGTCGATCAATTAAAACGATGTTAAAACGTTATATCAATCGCGTGTGCCCGCCGATCCGAGTCGATTCGACGGAGGAAAATTAAAATCGGAATAAAAAGGGCGCAGCTTCTCGACGGTAATCGAAACCGCGTGGAGAATTAACGAATTCAATTCGCCGGGGTCGGTTGACGCTCTATGTATTTATATATATCTATGTACGTATACATGCGTACAACTATGCTTTATTTGTTTTCTTTTTCTTTTTTTTTGGTTTTCTTGTTTTGGCAAGAGGTACTGATTCGCCAACAGGGGGTGGAGTGCGGCAGCGGTTAACAATGTGAATGTGAATCGTGAAAATAAAGTTCGAGTAAAAGTTCCGGCCTGTGGAAATTTTTACGTAATGAAATGTATGAGAAGTGGCGATATAC